TCCACCTTCCGTCGCTGGCATCATTCAGCTCCCGCTTGTAGGGAACCGAACTCTCAGCGGAATTCTAGACTCGAAGCGAAAGCGCCGGACGGAAATCCCGAACCCGGCAAAACCCAAGGCGGCTGATCCTAGTTGATGTGCCTTAAACACTCCAAAACGTTTTATCATACTCGGCTTACGGCGAGTGAAAGCTGCCAGCCGGCAGTATCCACTACTGACATGAATGATTCTCACTCGTCCGACGGATAGAGAGACCCATGGCGCGGTCCCAAGAGCCATGTTCAAAACGCACCCTACGATTTCATGAGACCGTGGAACAAGTTGTAGACCCAGTGGATCTTGTTAGGGCACGGCCTGCCCTGTGGCCAAAGCTGAGCCAAAAGGCCGCAACGAGGTCTCCCCTTACTTGGAGGATCATGGGACTTAGTAAGTAAGGTTATAAGTACCTTGACTTGGGTTATAAGCATAGTTACCCTAACTATAACCCTAGTTACTAAGTCCCATGATCCTTTATGTAAGTTCATGCAGCACGAGTTTCACCCTTTACTCAAGACGGTGACACATGGACACGCAAAATACCTGTCTTACACCGAGCTGCGCAGACATGTAAAGGCAGGCAGATCGACATCACATTAGTCTGCATCGTACATTTTCCTGTAAACAAACATACTTGGAGGATCATGGGACTTAGTAAGTAAGGTTATAAGTACCTTGATTGGGGTTATAAGTCTAGTTACCCAAATTATAACCCTAGTTACTAAGTCCCATGATCCTTTAAGTACTATCTGCACTGAGACCTGTAATCTGATGCTTGTTCGGGGGTTTTGGAGAGTAGGCTGTCCTTGCTGAGGAGCCCCGCATCACAAGAGATCCTACGACCAGGGGTTCTACTTGGGTAGTTGTCAAAATTAGGGTCCCTGTTTCGGTCCCTAATAGAATACGGCACCTAATAGTTCATCTACTAATCTAACTGCTTATGCTTCTGTCTACTGGCTTTTGGTGATTAAGTATGACTAGATTGCCAAAGTTGCCCATGTTACGTGTCTCATTCAGACGTCTCCTGGTATCTTGCATGCACTAATTTAAGCTTGTTTGCGCATATCGCATTCAAGCTTTGATTAGGGTTGGTACCCTTTAGGTCGAGATTGGATATTCGTCTTCTGCAAACGCCCGTGTGAATCCACCATCTCCTGCACACTATCTGTTGTCCAGTATGCATGCATGAGACCGCCTGCGTTGAGCGTTATGCGAAATCTGCAGAGGTTCAACGGATGCGCTATACCGTGCAACTGCGCTTTCCGCACATGTGTGTTACATATGTATGTGCACATCGGTTTGGCGCTTTGACCACTTGTTATCTACAGTCCTGTTTCTGTATGTCTTTGTAAGGCTCATACATGTACCCAGTTGCATCCTCAAGCGAACATCTGAGTCAGACAAGCATCTACAAACCCGCGCGAGTGCCAGAGAGAAAGAGAGAACCTGCAGTTTGCGTGTATATCTGTGTGTTTGTGTGCCCGCAGATGGGTAGGTAGGTAGGTAGGCTGGCAGGCATGTAGGCATGAAAGCATGCACATATGCAGGTACCTGACTGTGTGTATATATATACATATTTATGTGTGTGTATATATATATACATGTGTGTACAGCATGCATACATGTATGCATGTAGGTATTTTGTATGTATGTAAATATGTATGCACTTGTGTATGTACGCATGTAGGCATGTACGCATGTAGACATGCATGTCTGCATGTCTGCGTGTCTGCATGTCTGCATTTCTGTCTGTGTGTCTGTGGGTATGTATGTATGCATGCATTGTCTGTCTGGCTGTCTGCCTGTCTGTCTGTCGCTCTGTATGTTTGTATGTATGATGACCTATGTATGTGCACGTACATGATGCTACTGCGCCAGAAGCCGAGTGCGCTGCTTCGCCATCTTCTGGCGCGCCAGGTGGTCGCGACGGCAGGAAAAGCCAAGTGTTTGCACGCTCCGTTGTAGCGCTTCGGGCTTCAGGCATGGAGGCTGTTGGGGTTTAGGGTCCATGGCTGGGGGTTTCGGGATCGGTTAGAGTAACTGTGCTGTCCATCGAGCAGCAAAATTCTGCAGCATGCTATCAAAGGTATATCCAACCTCCAAAGAACACCCTCAGCCCCACGCCGCATCAAAGCCCATCTCAATGCTCGCCATCTGGAGACGTCTCTAACTCCACACTTAAGCCCTGAACCCTTGAAACTTAAACCCTCAACCATCTAAACGGCTACACCCGGAGCCCTAGACCCGAAAACCTTGAGCCCCTGAACTTAGACCCGAACACTAAGACAGCAAGAGCTCCGAAATTTTGCCTGTGGCATAGTTAAAACAAAGCGGTGATTTAAAAAAGAAGTCAAGACATCACTGTGACTTTGTGGTCTCGCAGTTTCTACGACTCGCAAGGAGGCTTCGAAGGAAACTCTGTTGCTGGGATTGCGTCGCCACGGGAGGATATAGTGTTATGAGTCTAGGAAGGCGGCGCCGAAAGGCGGCTCGACGTTAAGCGGTAGGGGTCGTTGCTATGCAGAATGACTGGGGTCTGCGCAGAATGCCCATGCCGACAAAGGACTTCATCGTTGTCACCTCGACCAGACAACCGGCTGAGGGATCAGGTAGAACACCCTAAACCTGCGAAAAGGCAGCCACCCACGAATGTGAACAGAAGGGGTAATGGAAATTATACTAGGTGTCAATTTCAACAGTCTCCAAAATGATGTATGATTAGGGTTCTAGACTAAACAACAAGGGATTTTAAAAACATCCCAAATCGATACCTAATATATGAAGGTCCCTCCAACATCACTATTTCAGTCTGTGGGGGCCTAACCGGCCATGAATCTCGAGCCGACAACAGTACCGACCCTGGAGGGGCCCGTTTCGGCATTAGGCCGTAGGCTTGACGTTCTTAGGGTCTTAGTGTTTCAGATTTGGGTCTCAATAAGGTCCCTTTTAGAAGTAGAGTTGAGAAGGGTCCCCGTAGAGGGTTTCCCCAATGCTGCCTACTTGGAGGATCATGGGACTTAGTAAGTAAGGTTATAAGTACCTTAATTGGGGTTATAAGTATAGTTACCCAAATAATAACCCTAGTTACTAAGTCCCATGATCCTTTTAGTAGGGTCTTGGAGTTTCAAATTTGGGTCTAAGGTGCAAGAACCCAGGCGACAAAGAAGCTTCAACATCGACTTTAAAGCTAAAGCTCTGCATTCACCACAGGCTTAGAAGTTAGGATCAGGGGGGGAGGGACCCTTGGGGCTTTGGACCCTCTCAATAAGGTCCCTTTTAGAAGTAGAGTTGAGAAGGGTCCCCGTAGAGGGTTTCCCCAATGCTGCCTAGGAAGGCCACAGGGAAGCTCCCGAACTGGGGCTTCGGGCGAAGGCGCTGGCATTGCCCATGCCGCCTCCGGCCCCCCGACCACCCGAGACCTCACGCAGGAGGGAGGGAGTCTATACGGTTTGGGGGCCTGAGACTTATGGATAGGGTATGTGTTCGGGGGAGGGGCAAGGAGTTAGGGCGGGATAGCACAGGTAAGTGCAGTTCTGGGGGAGACTTTCCGGGGCGGGGTGACAAGTAGGCCCCTGGAACCGTGGCTTCGTGGATCTTGGTGCTCTTCTCGGATAGACAAACGGCCCACTGTGCCTGTAACCCTTCTGCTTGACCTGATGTTACCCCTGTGGTGTACTCAGCGAAAACGCTTATGAAGCCCTGAAACAACCTAGAAACTTCCATAAACAAGAAACGCTAAGGCCCCACTATACCCTCGAAAAAGAGCAGGGGAGTCGTGGGTTCGGCGCGTAGGGCTGAGGCATTTGGCTGGTTTCGGGTTTATGGTGTAGAGACAAGTCCCCGAGCCACTCACATCTAGGCCTCTGACATCTACCACAGCTAATCGGATGCTAATACGGCGGGTGACTTTATAGTTAGGATAATGGTTTTGGATGCAGTGTAACAAATATAACGATGTGGGAGAGTTCTCAACCACAAGACGTCGAGCCCTAAACTACGATCTTTTGTACGGACTTCACGAAAGGGTCTCAAGGTTTTATGTTTCGCTGTTTCGGGTCATCGGATTTTGGGACTGAGGCGCAAAGGTTTCAAGTTGAAGGGTTCCTTTCCGGGCTTTCACAAAGGTTCCTTCAAGGGGCTTCCCTTAAAGGGGACACTTTTATAATTTATAGAATCCTATAGTACCCTTCGGGGTATTGAGGACCACCAAAACCGACAGCGACTCGACAAGAGGAAGGCTCCCCCGCATTCGGCAAGTTGTTGTAGCTGGAATGCCTGCACAACGCAAAACAGATGGGCCTACTTAAAGGATCATGGGACTTAGTAACTAGGGTTATAATTAGGGTAACTATACTTATAACCCCAATTGGGGTAGTTATAACCCTACTTACTAAGTCCCATGATCCTCCAAGTAGCCTATATCTAAACCCTCAACCCTAAGCCGTAAGCCCTGAGCCCGAAGCCCAAAGCCGACCCTGAACACTAGCCCCAAATATGATGTCAGAGCGAGAGTTGGGGATATGGGAGTTTCCGGAAATTAGGGGACCCTAATATGGTACCCTCAATAATAGGATCCTTATGATAAGAACCCCAAAATAAGGTACCCCTAATTTTCGGAAACTCCCATATGCAAGCTTGAACAAAGCTTGACCCCTCGCTAGCGCAAGTGTTACTTGGAGGGAGGGATAGGGTTTTGGATTCAGCCTCTGGGGCTTTAGGGTTGTGGTTTGAGGCTTAGGAACAACTGGGTGCATGCATATGTAACAGGAGGAAGCAAAAGAACAGCAGGTGATAGCTATACTGAAACGCAAAAAGTAGAAGAGCTTGATGAAGAGCCTGGACAAACAAAGCACCTTCGCCTGGTAAGAACAATAACAAGGATCGGTCAACTTCACACCCCTAAACCCCTATAAAGCTCTGCATAAGGCAACCATAGAAACTACACTACACATAATAGAACCTGTTCACAAAACAAACCTTAGGAAAACCCTAAGCCCTAAGCTCTGCAACCCCCCAAACCCCCCAAACCCTAAACCCTAAGCCCTAAACCCCCGAAACCACCAAAAAGCCCCAAAAAGCCCCCCCCAAAGCCAGGCCCATGGCTGTGAGGAAAGGCTCGCCAGCTCGAAGCCCATGAAATCGATGAAGCCGATGTTCTCCTGGCGAGTCGAAGGGGGAGCCCAGGGGTTCCTCAAAAGGAGCTATAGGGGTTTAGGGTTTAGGGTTTAGGGCTTTATGGGTTTAGGTTTTTTTAAACATGTACTGACGTGTCTTTCTCGAAGCAACGCCTGTCGCGAACGACATACACGAAAGGTGAAACAACGTACTCCTTCGGCAGAATCATGGGTTTAGGGTTTAGGGTTTAGGGTTTAGGGCTATTATAAGGGTACTAAAATATAGGGGCCTTAAGAATCCTATAAAGGGGTCCATAAGGGTTCCTATAAGGGATCTAGAAGGGTGCTGAAGTTTAGGGGCCTTCAAAAATAGAACAGGCTTTGGAGGTATATAAAAACTAAATTCGTAACAACCCTTAAAGGAACCCTGTACGGGAACCTTTAAGGGAAACTAATGATTCGATTAAGGGTTCCTTTAAGGCGTTGAAGGCAGTTCCCTGCAGTGTTTCTGAGAAGGTCCTGCAGACCCTTCGGGGTTTGTAGGATTTTGCGGTTCAGGGCGCTTCGGTGTTTCAGGTCTTGGGGCTCAGGGCTTCACGGTTCAGGGTAAACCCTAGACCCCAAACCTCGAAACCTACCCCAAACCCCTAAACCCTAAACCCTAAACCCCTAAACCCTAGACCCCAAATCCTAAACCCCGAAACCCCTAAACCCTAAACCCCGAAACCCCTAAACCCCGAAACCCCTAAACCCCGAAACCGGAACCCCGAATATCCAAAAGCATGGCATCCTGAGTCTGAAAGCTACTTAAAGGATCATGGGACTTAGTAATTAACTAGGGTTATACTTGAAAGGGCTCCTCTAAAGGGGATCTATATTATAGGGGATCTATTATAAGAGGGGTTTTAGGGTTAGAATTAGGGTAACTATACTTATAACTTATAACCCCAATTGGGGTACTTATAACCTTACTTACTAAGTCCCATGATCCTCCAAGTATCTTGAGCACCGTGAGGTGGAGCAGGTTCAGTAAGGGATCGTTGGGGCTGCTCTTCAGGCATCCACACGACGTTGATGACCTCCAGGGCCTAAACAATAGAATAGGGTTCTGAGGCGTGTACTTGCTTTGTAGTGATTGAGGGTATACTAACAACAAGTATGCGATCCCACAAAACATATCTGTATGCTAGTGGGATGCTTTGGGACTAGTTAATAATAGTATTCAAAAAGATTCCTTACTGTGGTTATAGCGACACCCTGTGTTGATTCCCCTGGAGTTAAGAATGCCAGGTCAGCCAGGTGCGTCTCCAGCACAAAACCTTGGAACAGCTACGGACAGGGGTAAGGAGGGCTTAGTGCTTGCAGGATACAGACCTTACTGTTTAGAGTTTCGAGCTAAGGCTTTGGGTTTATTGGGTTCAGGGCGCGGCGAAGCTCCATCGCATGCCTCAGCTGACGAGCTATGATCCCCCAACCCTGAACCTCTTCGCAGGGCTGTTTAAAGGGGTCCCTACGACGGTTGTTACTAGGGTTTAGGGATTCGGGTCAAGGTGATGCCCCAGCTGAGACTACGGCGCTGCGTCTCGTCGTCCAGACCTTGACGCATGATGTTGTCTGAGGTTGCTTTGAGGGTCCTACAAGGCAAGGAGCGTAAGGGGCGTGATGTAGGGGCCGTAATAATCAGAATAGGGTTTTGGGTGTTCCTTATTAGATTTGTAAGAAAGTGTACCCCAAAGCCCTATTCTGCTTATAAAGGCCTCCATGTTGTAGTCTGTATTGTAGTACCCTTATAGATCCCTTATAGTAACCCTTAGAGAGCCCTTTAAAGGAACCCTATTCCAATTATTAAGGCCCCTACAGCAGCTGAACAATGAGCCAGACCCGTCTCGCGTGGAAAGCCATGTACGATCTTGCACTTGTGGTAATATAACTAACTGTGGATTATTAGGCAACCGTAGGCCTTAGGGCTTCGGGTTATATTTCCGCGTGTAAGGTTTCCGGTTTAGGGTTTATATACAGTTGCGCGCCAGAATCTCAACTAACCAGTGGTTTTGGTGTTCCCTTGGCTCTTTAGCTCCTTATTTAATAGGGATTATCATCATCCCTGGCTCCTCCAATATCAATGGTTAGGTAATATAGAGGCTTAACCCTGAGAATTGGGGTCCTTTCAGGGTTCCTGTAAGGAGCTTTCTTATAGAGTTCTGTAATACATGGGCCTTAATAGTTGGAAAAGGGCGTGACGGCGTACTGGAACAGAGCTTTACAGTGAGAGTATAGACAGGAATAGTGTCATTACTTGTTCCGACCCCTGTATTGTTCATTCCAGCCGCAGTTTACTCTAGTAAGAAATCTGCAAAGGACATCAACTTTGACGATACCGGCACACGACCTTCAACTTTGCTTCCAAGCATGGGACCTAGAACAAGAAGTTCTCCGATGCTTGAAGTGGGAGTTTCATGAATTAAGTGCCCTAGTAGAGACCCTAATACCACGCCTGACCCCAAGTTTTATGAAGCATCCAAATTTATCCGGAGTCGAGCCTTTTGGGGGGCCGGACTGTTAAGGTCCACGTCGACAAGGTCATCGTCGACAGCCGCACCTATGACGGTTGGACCGTGGCCTCAGCAAGTAGAGCGTGTTAGGGGTTGGGCAAGGCTTGGGGTTTAGGGTTTACTTAAAGGATCATGGGACCTAGTACCTAGGGTTATAATTAGGGTGACTATACTTATAACCCCAATTAAGGTACTTATAACCTTACTTACTAAGTCCCATGATCCTCCAAGTAGGGTTGGGTTGAGGGTTAGTAGGGGGTTGGAAGGGGTTTAAGGAATAGGGCTTGGCAGGCTTCGTCCACCGAATGAATCATCCAGAAATACAGACAGGAACAGCTGAAAGACACAGAAAGGAGAATGTACAAAGACAAAAGACTGATGAAAAGAAGGTGCGATCAAGGCCACAATGACGAAGCGGGAGGGGGACAGAGGAAAGTCGAAGAAGGGAGATACCCTAACAGAAATAAAGGCAGAGAGACGGAGGGAGAGAGAGAGAGAGACAGAGAGAGAGAGAGAGAGCGAGGGAGAGAGAGAGAGAGAGAGAGAGAGAGACAGAGAGACAGAGAGAGAAAGAGAGAGAGACAGAGAGAGAGAAGCAGAGAGCGACAGGAAAGTCAGAGGAGGGTCTGGGGAGAGACAGAGAGAAAGCAAGAATGAAAGATAGATGGAAAGAAAGGAAACGAAGAGAAGAAACTGAAGAAAGATAGACAGGTAAGTTGAGAGAGGGAGGAAGAGAAAAAGAAATGAGTTCTGCCAGAACAAGCACAAACAACAGAGAGAGAGAGAGAGAGAGAGCGAGACCTGTGGTTAAACGAAGTGTGAGCATCCATGTATGCATTTACCTACCTACACAGACATGCACGCCGATATGCATATGAACAAGTGTAAATGTTTACATATGTATGCTGTGTTTACAGCTTGGTATAGACATAAGTACGTGTATACATATCGACATATACACATACATTAAAGGATCCTCGAACACCCACCAAGTGCCAGCAAAACGGGGCTGCAGCCATGGTCATCCATCTGAACCATCGCTTCGACGAGGGGCTTTGCTTCGTCTGAGATGGCTTAAATGCGGCAATCGCCACAAGGCTCGCGGGGGCTCGAAGTGTGGCTTTGGCATGAGGGCCTCAGGGCCTAACGTTTCCAGTTTCAGTGTTGAAGCTCTAGGATTTGGGACGCCATGTGATGCAACACTATGGGAAGCGGAATGCTGAGGTTCTTTCGGCGCTGGCCCTGAGAGTTTACAAGAGCGCTGCCATGTCATGACTAGATGTACATCTACAACTCTAAGTGTTGATATGAGTCGGCTATGTCCACGGACAGGGAACGTCTAGGGTACCCAGACTTCAATGATTGCAGAAACTGAGCGAAAAGCTGCAGAGTGCAAACAAGACACTCGAGTCACCGCCAGCTTCCTGCACTAAACCTAAAGCTCTAATTGAGCCAGGACGGACACTCTCGACCCTAACCTTCCCTCACAGAGACCTACTGCCTCCAGCCGGACCCTAATATCGTACCCTAAATAGTAGGAGCCTTATTATAAGGACCCCAAATAAGGTACCCCTGATTTTCGGAAACTCCCAGCTGAAGTGTCTCATACCTTCGGAGCCTGCGGGCGATTGGAAGGCATGAGGCTATACGTATCCCCCCTATAAGCCCAACCCATAAACCCTAGACCCTAAACCCCAAACGCTAAACCCTAAACCCCAAACCCCAACCCATAAACCCTAAACCCCAACCCCAAACCATAAACCCTAAACCCTAAAACCCAAACCCCAACCCATAAACCCTAAACCCCAAACCCCAAACCCCAACCCATAGACCCTAAACCCCAAACCCCAACCCATAAACCCTAAACCCCAAACCCCAACCCATGAACCCTAAACTCCAAACCCCAACCCATAAACCCTAAACCCCAAACCCCAAGCCCATAAAGTGTTCAGGCTTCTGTTCAGCGCTGACAGTTTTGGATCAGGGGTCCCTCTGCGTCGGAGAAGGGCTGTCATGTCTTTAAAACAAGGTGCGCTGTAGGGGCCTTGAAAGTTTGAATAGGGTTTTGGGGGTTACTTCCCTTAATTATGGTATAATATACCCCAAACCCACTCATACTCAGTGGAATAAGGTTTGGGCTTTATAAAGCAAGGTGCCTAATGATCATTGGCATAAGGCCTGGGCTTTAAAACAAGGTGCCTTATATCATTGGAATACGGCTTGGGGGGGTGCAGTTTTCCGAGAGGTTTCTGGAGTTTTATCGGGACAGCCCAAGTGCTTACAAGCTGGCATGCCTGC